CCTAACGGTAAGGTTTTTGGCGGTGCACGAGGTACCCTTTTGATTTCTTGAAGTTCTAATAATTCTGCAAACGTTTGCGAGGCCGATCGTCCAGGTTCGTCCTCCAAAACACTGTCCGGTGGACTGTTCAACAACTTGGCGTATTTCCCATCCTGCGATTGCTGCTGATGATGGTGACTCTTGGTTTCGTCCAATCCAAGATAATTCGGATTACAGAAACCAAACTGACCCTCGCGTATCGTGGACGGAGTAACTATTGGACGATACTGCTTACACTTCCGTCCCGATGGCCAGTCGTCGTCGGCAAGAGGATCACCAGGACTCCTAGCTTCTATACTCGCATAATCTGACGTGGACTCTTCGCCCTCTTCCAAGTCAGCGAAACGAACGGACGCAGATGTCGGTATTTTGGAAGTGGTTGGTGTTTTTGGCGTCTGAAGCGCGGCCTCGTAAAGATGAGAACTATAACTCTCTCCGCGTGTTGGCTGGCAGGCTTGGTGCACAGCAGCGAAGTCTCTGGAAGCGTAGGAGTATCTATACACACTAGTTAGTACACGTGTCTATAATTAGACACGAAGATTCGAGGATGCACTTACCGTCTTTCCTCTTGAACTTCTATCAGTCTGGAGGTAGGTGGCTCTTTTCGCTCTTCGTTGTCGCTATTTTCGTCCGGATCGACGAAAACAAGCCTGGCTGCTTCCACAGGTGTGAGAACCGGAGTGGGTAGGGTCAGGGCACGGAAATTCGGTACGGAGATAGGATCTCTGGTCATCCCGGAACCAGTGGTTACGACATTGCAATTGTTCGCGTCCATGGTTTTAGACATTGCTTCCGGTGGCTTTTGTCTTCGACGCGCCAACGTATTGGCGCTTCGAGATTTCACCATTCCCGTGGACGGCTCGACCACTTCGTTGTCCACTTGCTGAAACGGATAATACGTGTTCGCCTGCGGGCAGGCTCAATTGTCACATGCGTTTCTTTGTGCAAATACGAAGCTTAAGATGCGTGTGCGTGTAATAGAAACAAAACGAAACAAACGAAAAGATACTGCATTTCTTCCGAATGAAAAAAAAAAAAAAAAGAGAAAGATGTATATACCTCTTGAGGACTTTCTTCGTTATCATCTTGACCGCTTAAAACGGAGTAGCTACACTTTGTTGGATGGCTCAACCGTGACAAGTTAATCTGG